GAACAACCTGAAACCAACACTGCAGTGCCACAAGGCTGCAAAAAACGCCATGGGAGTGCTGCATGCAATAAAAAGGGCTTTCGTTAACTTTGACCAAGACCTTTTTGGGAGAGTTTACGGCACATTTGTTCGGCCCCACTTCGAATATGGCATACAAGCATGGCGGCCGTGGCTAGTAAAGAACCAAGCATGCCTCGAACGAGTACAACGGCGTGCAACAAAGCTGGTAAACGGTCTAAAAAGCTAATCCTACACAGACAGACTGAATTGCCTTAATTTATTCCCTCTGTGTTACAGGCAGCAAAGAGGTGATCTTATCCTCGTCTACAAGATAATGCATGGCCTTGAGTATGGACTTAAATTTGAGGACATGTTCCAGTGGCACCTTTCAACCGATCTTCGTGGTCACTCGATGAAGTTACGGACAACAATGTCCAGGCTGAATCTTCGTTCTGAATTTTTCACGCAGAGGGTAGTGGAGAAATGGAACGATCTCCCTCAGTAAGTCGTGGAGGCTACGTCCGTGCAACTCTTTAAGAAACGCTTGGATGATTATTTGTGTCCCCTGTTTTCCCTCGACAGTCTGAAACTGAATTAATACCCCTGGTCCTGACAAATATTTTCTCTGAGACAATGCTACTCAATTGAACCAAGTACTGTTTTAAGAGTGAACATTTTTTGTTCGTGCACAGTTATTTCTAACGAGCTGGCATGTAATCAATAGGGTTTTCAAAGGCGTTGCCTATTATCCTTACCAAATAAACTGAACTGAACTGAACCCTAGCTGCTTGGAGGCCGTAGCCCACATCACCCGAAAATCCTGAGTATGGTTGTCTACAAGCCGCTGTTCCCTTAAGGCGGTCAGTGCATAAGAAGCCCAAAAGATCCATATATCTTGTATTTCTTTTGTGCGTGTCCAATTTCCCCCAAATGGGAACTGCAAGCTCTCTCTCTCTCGAATTTGTCCAGTACCCTGACACAAGTTTTCTCTCTACTTAGTTTCCTCCTGGTTCCCGGAGACATTTTGTTTTCTGCTCTGCTTTCTTATACCTGCGTACACTTTGAGCACCTGTAGTGGAAAAGTGGACTTAAAAACTACAAACAGTAATATATACAGGAAAAACTAACTCCAAATGGGGGAATTGTGTTTACCAACAAAAAAGAGGATGTACAGATTCGAAGAATCAGAAAAGGAATGTTCCGGACTCACGCAAAGTAGAATCCTCTCAAGTAGCGAGAAAGTATTCCGATGAGGAACCGGTTGAATAGAGGCAGTCGGTTCCGCGATGATATGGTGAAGTAGGCTTGTGAGGATGGAGGTTCCGTCAGTTCATACGAATTGCTAAGAATGTTGAGAGGTTACAAGCGAAGGCCAAGAAATAACGACGTCAAGCACACTCGAAACCAGAACACACGTTGACCACCGCAGAGTTGTTCATGTGTATTTCCGTTTTGTCAAACAAATGCACAGGAAAGTCAGATGTACGAGAGAGTGTAATGAAACAAATCAAAAATGTTCAAAAGCCTACACAACTCCCCCACCAGACCGTTTGCCAAAGAAACAAAACGCTCGATAACACAAAACGGAAAAAGAAAAAAATTACACTACAAAGTCTTTAAGTTTGGCGGGAAAACGGATTTGTCTACCGGAACGAGAAGAAATGGGCGGAAGTGTTGGATGAGGACCCGGTTGGGTGGTTAGAATGGTCAAGTGTGGTGATGGAGGGTAGGTGAGTGGTGTGGGTGTATCGGGTGAGGACATAGTAGGATGAATGGATGGCGCACTGGTCGACGGGAGGCACTCCAGATAGGCTGGAGACCGTGTCAGTCTTATCAGCCTTCTGAAGGACGTAAAACCTGTCTTTCCGCTGAACGACCTTATATGGGCTATCGTATGGAGGACAAAGGAGCTTGCGCAATGCGTCATGCCGGACGAAAACAAAGGGGGCAGATTTAAGGTCCTCGTGTACAAACACATGTTTCGATGTCAGATGAGTGGGGGTTTGACGCAGTTGAGCCATGCGTTGTTTCAACTGCTGCACGAAGGTGCTCGCTATGTTAGTGTTTGTCGTGGAAGACTGCACAAATTCGCCGGGCAGACGGAGGGGTGTACCGTACACAAGTTCGGTGGCAGTGCATTGGATGTCCTCCTTGGCAGAAGATCGGATGCCCAAAAGTACAAGAAGGAGATTGACACTCCAAGTAGCTGGCTCTGTTTGGGACATCAGTGCGGACTTGCGTTGGCGGTGTAGACGCTCAGCGAGGCCGTTGGAGGCAGGATGGTATGCCGCGGTTGTGATGTGCGCACACCCGAGCAGTCTAGTGAACTCACGGAAGAGGCTAGATTGGAATTGACTTCCGCGGTCAGTGGTAAGGGTGGCTGAAACAACAAAAGTTGAGATAAACTGGGTCAGAAAAACCATAGCGATATTTTCTGCCGAGATATCCGAGATAGGAACGGCAATCGGCCATCGTGTGAAACGGTCAACTGCCGTCAGGATATGTGTGTACCCACTTGAAGGGGGTAACGGTCCGATTAAATCCAAGTGAACGTGATTAAATCAAACGTCCGGGACCGCAAAGGTACTTGGAGGGGAGAAGGTGTGTCGATGCACCTTGTTCTTCTGGCATGCGAGACACTGTTTGGTCCAAAGAGCAGTGTCAGAATTCATCTTCGGTCAAACAAAACGAGCCGCAATTAACTTACGTCCAGCGCGAATGCCAGGGTGGGAGAGGGAGTGAAAGTGGTCAAAGACGACCTTACGATAGGGTAGTGGAACAAAAGGACGAGGGTTGCCTGTGGACCACTCGCACAAAATCGTGCCTGGTGACGCAGGAAGTGGTGCATTGCGAAGCTGCAGAGCAGTAGACGTACGTAGGTCCGCGATGGACTCGTCTGCTGTTTGGAGGTCTGCAAGCTTCGCCAGGTCGAAATCGGATGTGAGTGTGTTGATGTCCGGACGGGATAATGCATCAGCAACGACATTGTCGCTGCCTCGGATGTAGCGGATATCTGCAGTAAACTGCGAAATATAGTACAGGTGACGAACGTCCCTGGGCAAGAACCGATCTGGCTTGGCCTTGAGGGCGTAAGTGAGAGGTTTGTGGTCGGTGTGGACCGAAAAGTCTCTGCCCTCTAAAAGGTGTCGAAAGTGACGTATGGCCAAGTAGATGGCAAGGAGCTCGCGAGAGAAAGTACTGTAGAGAGTCTGCGTCGGTTGTAGCTTCTGTGAAAAGAAAGCTAAAGGCTGCAACTGGTTATTCACCTGTTGATGCAAGACTGCGCCGACAGCACTGCTGGAAGCGTCAGCGGTCAAAATGAGCTGTGCAGGAGCGTCAGAACTGAGGTGGTGCAGCATGGTGGCATCGGCAAGAGCCTTCTTCGCTTCCTCAAAAGTTGTACAGGCTGCCGGTTAAAGTTCAATAGGTTTTGCCTTCGACTTCAAAAGATCAGTCAAGGGAGCCAGAATTGCCGCACAATTGGGAATAAAACGTCTGTAATAGTTGATAAGGCTTATGAAACGTCGCAGCTGAGTGAGTGTGTTGGAAACAGGGAAAGACAAGATGCATTGCACCTTCTCTGTAAGTGGAGTGATTCCGTGCTGATCGACGTGATGGCCGAGGAAATCGAGAGAATTAATGCCAAAAACGCATTTGTCGACGTTTACTTGCAAACCGTGTTGCGGGAAACGATCGGTTCTTTTCTGTAAATGCAATTGCTATTTGGAATAAACTACCCATGAGTGTGAAAACTCTGCAAAATTTTCCTTTATTTAAGAGAACTATTACTCGATTTTTGCATTCAGAAAAGCTCCCACAAATTTTGGGTGCTGAATCTACTGATCGACTGTACCGTAGCGATGGCGTTTGTGGTCTCTGAACACTATGGCCGGTCTCACCAGCTGTTCCTCGACGCCTCTACTTTGACTATCCCCAACTTCATGAAAGGAATTTGACGTCCGATAATCTCCGATACCGTGCAACCTCCCCCCTTCTTGACGGCCGATATTCTACCACCGCCGACAGTTTTTTTCTCCTGAGCCCTCCAAACCACAAAAACCACCATCAACTATATTTTTATGCCTTAAGCTCAGGAGTTTTTTTTTCACTGCTGGTCGGATTTGTGTTTAATCGCTTCCCTTGACAATGCCTGTAAACTGGCATTAAATTAAAATTTATTTATAAAGGCGAGGCATGTTCCTCTGCCGAAGAGCTTGCGACGAGCATGTCGTCGATGTAGGCGTAAGCGAATGGAAGGCCCCGCAAGATCTCATCGATAAAGCGCTGAAACGACTGGGCAGCATTGCGCAAACCAAAAGGCATGCGAATAAATTCGAACAGCCCAAAGGGTGTCGTGATAGCGGTCTTTGGAATATCTTCCTCAGCGATCGGGATTTGGTGGTACGCCCTGACGAGGTCTATCTTGGAAAAAATAGTTTTACCGGCTAACATGTGGGAAAAGTCATGAATGTGTGGAATGGGGTACCGGTCAGGAATTGTGGACCTGTTTAGGGCTCGATAATCACCGCACGGTCTCCAATAGTCAGATGACTTCTTTGGCACCATGTGCAGTGATGAGGCCCATGGGCTCAATTCAATTCAATTCAATTATTTTATTAAAGACCCGTCGGGGTCCCATCAAAGCAAGTAAAAATAAATTTACATGCAAATTTTAGACGATGTAGGCAAAATCTGCACAAAGTGCAATGCATAGTTTTTGAGATTAGAAGTCCGTTAAGCAAAATGAAAATGAAAAAAAAAACGAGGGGTGAAAAAAAAACTCCAAAGCAAGATTTAAAAATGATTGTAGTAAGTTAACAGGAGAAAAAAAAACCCTCAGAAAAATAGCATCAGAAAAAAAGGGAGGACTGGCCTGCATGTGGCGGTACAAAATGGAATAAAGCCCGACATCAACATGGCCGAAATAGATGTCAGCTGTATATGGCATTGTGTAACGGATTTCATAAAATGGTACGTAGGCGGGTCGGTCAGGACTGGCCTGTATCGCCTTGAATAAGAAAAATAAGTGCCGAAATTGAAAATCAGTCTCAAGCCGATAGGAACCCAGATGCGGTCAGTTTCATTCAACCGAGTCCATCCGAACATGGGGGGGAGATGCGACCAGACTACTAGTATATGGCGAATATAGAAGGCTATGACAAGACCGCCGATGGAGCGCATTCTGTAAGGGCATGATGACAACCAGTCTCGAGGCGACAAGAACCCAGATGCGGTCGGTTTCATTCAACCGAGTCCATCCGAACATGGGGGGAAGGGAGATGCGACCAAACTACTAGTATATGGCGAATACAGAAGGCTTTGTCAAGATCGCCGATGGAGCGCATTCTGTAAGGGCACGATGACAACCAGTCTCGAGGCGAAAAGGCCCCAGATGCGGTCTGTTACATTCATCAGAGTCCATCCGAGGATAGGGCATAGGAGATGCGACCAGATTACTAGTATATGGCTAATATAGAAGGCTTCGCCAAGAGCATCGATGAAGCGCATTCAGTGAGGGCATCATGAAGATCAGTCTCGAGGCGATAGGAACCCAGATGCGGTCGATTACATTCATCCGNACTAAGATCAAAATAAATTACGACAACAGATAGGTGATCATTACGAAGAGAGGTAAGTAGATCGAGAAACGACAGATGACATGTTTCACAAGAGCGATCTGGTAAAAAACCATGTTGGGAAGGGCTAATAACTTGATTGGCTATGCAAAATTCGGTAATTTTTATGGCGATAATTTTTTCAAAGATTTTGGCGAGAGAGGGTGTTTTATGGACACCTCGATAGTTCTGTACGTCAGAACGACAGCCAGACTTAAATACTGGAATAATAATAGAAGTTTTCCAATAGTCAGGGAAGAAGCCATTTACGAGAAATACTGAAAAGATTTTGCTAAGCAGAGGAGGAAAATCTCTTAGTTGTTTTATCAAAGAGTTTGGGATATTGTCCGTACCTACTGAGTGAGAGTTAGGAAGATGACTTATCAGTTTTTGAATACATTCAGGAGAAAAATTAATGAAGCTAAGAGAAGCATCAGACAACGAAGGAATTAAAGGGATCGGATCAGTTTCAATGGTGAAATGCTTGGCAAAGAACGAATTTAAAATTTCTGCTTTGCCTGACTCTTCTGTAATGAAGGCATCACTTGCACTAAGCAAGGGCGGAATGACTTGGTGGGACTTAGCAGATGATCTCTGACGGAAGATCTGAGCAACTGATTTAGAAGAATTCACATCATTAATAGCCAAAGACTCTCTACGCCTATCTCGCTCGAGCCTTATTTTCGAAGCTAGTTCAAATATTTCAACGATTCTTAGATGAACTGATAATGAACTCACAGAAGGATCTTTAAACTGCTTCCGTAACTTTTTAAGTCTGTTTTTAAGAAAGTGTGGGATGGCGGTGGAATTAGCACTCGGTTTGAACATCTTCCGAGGAATAAGGTCAAGAAGACCTTCTGTTACGCATTGTAATAAATTGTTGAAAAAATTTAGATCATTATTTGAAAAAATATTGTGCCAATCAAGAGTGCAGGTAAAGTTATTTACTAAATCCTTATTAACATTAGCAAAGTCAAAAATACTACGTTGAACTGTTGGCTTTGCGGAAATGGCAACTGGAAGGCGACAATGAATTAATGCATGATCACTTGCAAAGAGGTCATGATAAAAATCCATAGATAAAGGGAAGGTGCCATTAGTAAAAATTAAGTCTAAAACACTATCGTTTCTGGTCGAAGAGTGAACTAATTGAGTCAGGTTTGAAAAGTAAATTGTGTCAAGCAGCTTCTGGAATTTAGGAGGAGAAGTATGTGTGTGCCAGTCAATTTCTGGCTAGATGAAGGGCGTATAATGCCCAGATTCATCATATGTTCAAATTCGTTCTTTGCTATTCGGAGCTTCTCAGGGTGGATTCTACGCGGACGAGCGTGCACTGGTTGCCCTGCCGTGACAATGTGGTGTTTCACTCCGTGTTGAACGGTTTCGGTAAAATGACATGGTTTAGTGATGGACGGGTAGTCCTCCAAAATGTCAGCGAAAGGGATGCTGGGGATGGTGAGATGAATGCCAACCGAACGTTCAGAGCTAATGGTACCTATGGTAAAGAGTTGGGTGGTTGTGTGTGTTAGGCGGCGGTGTCTGACATCGACTGTAAAGCCGAAAGATGACAAAAAGTCGGCCCCGATAATGGGCGATTTGACGTCAGTCTTAATAAAGACCCATTGAAAACGTCGCCGAAGACCAAGATCTAAAGTGTGGGAACGTTGGCCGTAGGTGCTGATTGTGGTGCTATTTGCAGCCCGCAATGAAAATTGCGAAGGCTTGAGGCGGTGACGCCTTAAAGGCGGGATGACACTGACCTCGGCACCGGTATCAACAAGGAAACTGAGGCCGCTCGACTTGTCGTTGATATAGAAAAGGCGACTGGGTCGCGACGGGCCAGCAGCAGTCGTTGTCATTACTGGCTGGCGTGGTCGTTTAACTGTGAAGGACGAGCAAACGAACAAGGAGGTATGCACTTTCGGACTTTCGGGCCATAAGTGCGATGATACCAACATAATGGTTGTGAACGCCCCTCATGAAATTTAGACCGACGAGGTGAGTATGGCCGCTTTCTAGCCGCTGGAAGACTGTTAAGAGCAGAGCACATGTTGCTCACCTGAGTGCAAAGGAGGCGCACAGTGTCTCTTAGGTCGTCGTAATAGGTGCGATAAGCGTCAGTGGCTGTTCTGGGAGGACCGGCTGATGTGGGCGCTCGTCGGGTTGTGCAACAGCATGGCGCTTTTTCCGTATAGGGAGTGTCGTGCTTTGATAATGCTGGGCCTTCTGAATCAAAGCCAATGCCCTGATGGGTCTCGCCTTTCGAAGGCGGGGGCTGTTGAATATTGGAACACGAGGCACCAATGGGGTAACACTCTTTGATTCTGTCAGCGTGGGTAGCTAGCTTCTGTAAGGGTGTATTCAAGTCCAACATGGCCAAAACCTGTTGCATTGGCACCGGTAACCTTTCTAACCAAATCTCGCGAAAAATGGCGTCGTCCATGTGCCTACCAGCGAGAAGTGAGCGCATGTGACGCATGAGCTGGGAAGGTGTCTGATCACCTAGCTATACTTACGTGAAAAGTTCCCGCAGCATAAGGTTGGCCGATCTAGCCACCCGTTGGATTACCGCTTCCTTCAGCCGCGAATACGGTTCGTCGGCTGGAATGGGGTCAAGGAGGTCTTTGACGGTGACAGCTACATCAAATGGGAGAGACTGCAAAACGTACGAATAGCGGGTACGCTCGCTAGTAATGCGGCTTGTCGTGAAAAGAGCCTCGATCTGCCTGAACCAAACGCGAGGATTGCTCGGTGTAAACGATGGCAGTTTAAAAGAAAGGGTGTTAATGTCGAGTGAGTCTTTATGGGAGTCGTTACTGGCCATTGTAAATTAAAAAAGGTTCGGAATGAGGGAAAAAGCGGAGTCACCAATTTTGTAGTGGAAAAGTGGACTTAAAAACTACAAACAGTAATATATACAGGAAAAACTAACTCCAAATGGGGGAATTGTGTTTACCAACAAAAAAGAGGATGTACAGATTCGAAGAATCAGAAAAGGAATGTTCCGGACTCACGCAAAGTAGAATTCTCTCAAGTAGCGAGAAAGTATTCCGATGAGGAACCGGTTGAATAGAGGCAGTCGGTTTCGCGATGATATGGTGAAGTAGGCTTGTGAGGATGGAGGTTCCGTCAGTTCATACGAATTGCTAAGAATGTTGAGAGGTTACAAGCGAAGGCCAAGAAATAACGACGTCAAGCACACTCGAAACCAGAACACACGTTGACCACCGCAGAGTTGTTCATGTGTATTTCCGTTTTGTCAAACAAATGCACAGGAAAGTCAGATGTACGAGAGAGTGTAATGAAACAAATCAAAAATGTACAAAAGCCTACACACCTATTGTGGTTTTTTCCCCAATTGCGGCTTTGTGCGTAAATACCGCAAAAAGTGTGAGGTACGAAGACGAGCCTTGTGGTGGGTGCGCAGATATTCAAATTAAAGTAGAACAACAATGAAAACGAGGTCGCCGATAAAGGGAGACTCGATTCCCACGCACGATGTCTTAAGCGATGTCGCAAAAAAATTACCTGCCGCCGAAGCCATCTCACCTGAGCCTCTTGCTGTTAGTGATGGGATTTCTGTTCTGCCTGGAGACGATATACCTGGGTCATCCAGTCTACTGTTGCCCTCTTGTTCTGGCAACCACCCCGAGCGCACTACAGAGCACGTATCTGAATGCGAAGATATAAACCCGTGGGTAGAAGTGAGAGGGAAACGCCATGACAGGATTCTGAATTCACAGCCAGCCCTGATGGGTTGCTCGGGACAGTCGGTAGACAGTAAAAGTGTGCGTCCAAGCGATGACTCCGTAAATCGTCCTCACCCACATGCAGCGCATTCACCGAAAAGACAGAGTAAGGAGGACCATGCTCGCCAGCAGTGTCTGGTTATTCAGGGTTCGTCAGAATCGAATGCAGTCAGACCTGAAGACCGTGTCTCAGTGGACCTTGCTTCTTTTCATTGTCTGCTAAATCATTTACTGCCGGCAGACATGGAAATAAAGGTTCTGAAAGCATTCCGGATAGGAAAAAGGAGTGAAGACAGGACAGTAGCACAACCACCTCGCCCTCTCAAAATTATGCTGGAGAAAAAGGAGCAAATCAAGTTTATCCTCTCTAAAAAACCGATCTCAGAAACACACACAAACAGGCTTTTTTCAACCAGACTATTCACCAGCGGAACGGTTGAAACGCCGGGAACTTGTCTTGGATTTAAAATCAAGACTGAAGGATGGCGAACACAAAATGGCTATCTTCAAGGGGAAGGCAGTTCGGAAATATATGCCGTTTCAGTGGAACCAACCTGTAATACTACGAACGACGACAGCTACTCAACTAAAACAGACACCTTCGTTGAACCATCTGATCAAGGCGCCAACACAAGTGAGCCCGTAGCGTCCAGTGATCTGACTGAAACAAGGCCTGTAAATGAAACCAATCATGTAACGGAAGAGCCTAGAGAACACGACGTCCGCGATAACGGAGTAATGCTCACAGCAGTAACAAATGCAACGGGAAATTCGGCTGGTGCAAAACTGAGGTGCTTGTACACGAATGCCCAAAGCATCATATCGAAACTAGACGAACTAAAACTGTGCCTTGCTGAGCTGTCTCCAGATGTTTTAGCAGTAACGGAGACCTGGCTGTCCGGGAATATTAACGATAACGAAGTAGCCTTGCCTGGATACCAAATTTATCCGAGGGACAGGGAACATCGACAGGGTGGTGGCATCGTTGTGTATGTGAATGACGGTCTGGCAGTGTCGGATGACACCACCAAGTTTGCGTGCAATACGGAAGCTATTTGGTTGACCATCAAGGCTACCGGTTTCCCATGTCTCGATGTCCTCACTGTCTACCGACCACCTCGGACAGACCGAATCGCCGACACTCAACTATTGGAGCAGTTGGAGAAATTTTCCAGTCGACCTAACATCATGATCATGGGCGACTTCAACGCACCAGGAACAAACTGGAAAACCCTCCAAGCGTCAGGTCCAAAATCGGCATTCGATTACCGCCTGTTGAGCAAAACATTAAATGCGTGCCACACACAACATGTAATGCTCCCAACGAGAACACGTGAAGGACAAAGGGCAAACTGCCTGGATCTGGTCTTTACGAAAACACCAGACAGCATAGACGAGATCGCCTCCATGCCGCCCCTTTGCCGAAGTGACCACGTAGTGCTTATGTGGGATTATTCGTTATTCTCCATTTCACATACTCCAGACCACAAAAGGCATAATGTTTGGCAGGGCGAATTCAATCAGATGAGGGCAGACTTATCCGGCCTTGACTGGGGCTCATTGTTTACGGGAAGTGCCAACGATGACTGGGAGCTGTTCAAGAATGTCCTTCTGCAGCTCATCAACAACCACTGCCCACTGACTAGTGTAAGACTGAACAAACGCCCTGGGTGGCTAAATAGCAACCTCAAGAAAGAAATCAACAGGAAGCACAAATTGTGGAGAAAATATTGCGTCACTAGACAAGCTGAATATTTCAACACCTACAAGACACAGAGGAACAAACTGAGGAAGCTAATAATGCAGACGCGGTGGGAATTCGAGAAGAACTTGCTACAAAAAGCAACGCAGAACCCAAAATGTCTCTACAGCTACCTCCAACGAACTACAAGGAACAGGCATCGAATCCCCTTGATAAAGACTACTGATGGCGTTGAGATCGTTGATAGTAGGGATAAAGCTGCGTATTTTTCACGGTTTTTCCAATCAGTCTACACAAACGAGGCAAGGTTCCTTCCTCCCTCCACAGAAGAACTGCCGACTCCAAGCGTCAGTGATATACTCTTCTCAGAAGGCATTGTCCGAAGAGAATGAGAGGCATTGAACGAATCGAAGTCGCCAGGACCAGACGAGATTCCATCCAAGCTTCTGAAGGCACTTGCCAGTGAGCTCTCTGTGCCTTTGTCGATGCTCTTTCAAACGTCATTTGAGACTGGAACACTTCCTGTCGATTGGAAGCTGGCGCATATTACTCCGCTACACAAAGAAGGTAACAGGGCAGCGACGACAAAGTACAGGCCCATAAGCTTGACATGCATTCTCTGCAAAGTTATGGAAAGGATCATAAAGACTAAACTGATGCAATTCCTGGAAGTTCACGGCCTGCTATCGAAATGCCAGCATGGGTTCCGAAAAGGAAGATCCTGCACGACAAACCTGCTGAAATCTCTCCAGAGCTGGACCCGAGCTCTCGACGACAGGCACGCGGTCCACATAGCCTTGATCGACTTCCAGAAGGCTTTCGACACTGTGCCACACCAAAGGCTCTTACATAAGCTGAAAAAAACAGGGATCGGTGGCAACTTCCTTAAATGGATCGAAGACTTCCTTGTGGGTCGACACCAGGTTGTGTGCGTCGGTCGGGGAAAATCAGATCCGGCTATGGTCGATAGTGGTGTCCCCTGGGTTCAGTACTAGGACCCATTTTGTTCCTTATCTACGTGGACGATGCCGCAAGAGATTTAGACTGTGAAGTAGCAATGTTTGCCAATGACATGAAGTGTAATGGAGTGTATGGAGTGTAATTCGGGGTCCTGCCGACGAAGACAGACTGCAGATTAGCCTGAATCCGTTGGAGGAGTGGTCAAACCGTTGGCTCCTGCGGTTCAACGTTGTCAAATGTAGCATACTTCGCCTAGGCAACACAGCCAGATCCGTCAGCACAAGAGGCTACTTTCTGGGCGGTGCAGGCCTAAAAGAGGTCGAAGCCCAAAGGGACCTCGGTGTGCTTACGACGAGTTCCCTAATACCATCCGCCCACTGTTCGAGGGTGGCAAAAAGCACAATGTCCGTACTGTACGCCATCAAGCGTGCGTTTATGGACTTTGACG